GGGGGGAGTGTCATGTGTCGCCCTACCCAAACGATTTTTTAACCTTTTTACTGTGTGACCCTACGGCCCCTCACGCGCGCGCAACTGCACCTCCTCAAAAGCTTCAAGAACTACATGTAAAGCTTATCGAAAACTAGTGAACAATAAAGACTTCAGAACGAATTATTACTAAATGATTGACAGAAATGATGTGATAACAATTAAGTACTTACAGTTAGATAATTACCTGGACAGCATTATCATCTGGATACCAAGACCATGTCGTACCATCTACTGATATAGATATCTTGTACTCTTCTGTCCATTCAGTTAAACTCTTTCCATTTCCCTTTGTAGCCACAGCACAGATAACAAACAATTTACCCAAGTCTATCTGTAGATAGTCATCAGCCTTGTTATTCCCATTTGGTTCCCAACAACTATCAGAAGTAAACCTAGCTTTAACGGCTCCATATTGAGCCCTCAGCTCCGTACTCGCTGTAAAACTACTGTCTGGTATGATATTAGGGTCTGCAAGACCAACCACTGCGGACGGGCAATCTTGAAGACCTTTATTGAAATTTACGGAAATTACCACAAAATCATCGAAAAAGAGATATTGAAAACCTATGGCTTTGTGTTAATTGTTCCATTGTCATGAGGAGTAACAAGTACGCAGGTATGATTAGCATTGTTGCATTGATCCCTGATCCCAAAATTTCTTTTCAAAATTTATCCTTGATCCATCAAAACTTTTACGGCTTTTTTCGCTCATCCACGATGATCCGATGCTAGCAGCTATAGTGTTTCATATTAAATTATATTATAAATAAAAACCTAACATTGCCAAAGCCAATATCACCAATAAACACTTGGAATCGAATGAAAGACTATTAAACATGGCTTGGTGATCAGTCATTGCAGACTGTGTTATGACTGTGGTGAGAGCTGACAATGTCCTTGTTGAATGTGTTGTGGTATGTTACTAGTTTAGTAACAAACAAAGACCACTCTACTACTTACCAAATACTGTCTGTAGCATTGAGAAGCCAATCACTTCTACACGGAAATACATAATGGAGTGTCAAGAATTGAACCAAAAGGAAACGCTTCGAGTTAACTTCAGGAAGCTTTGTTGATGTCTCGTCAAGAAACGTGCATTCCATACGCTACTTCGTAGTCCAGAACTGATTAATGTCCGGATCTTTGCCTGAGTCGATGACCATCGACTAGCAATGAAAAATGGCAGATGGCTCTCTTATGTAACGACTGAAAGATCATAACGAAATTGCGGATCAGCGCGATCTGATACTTCTCCCTTTTTATGTTGTGTGACTTGCTATTATTGACCGTTATCTTGCGTTATTGTGCCTTGCTGCCCTATAGACTTTTGCGCAATTTGGTCACCTTGGTAGCGCGAATAGCTACTAGGACATTTTTAAAGGTCACTAGACCATTTAATTGCTCTTATATCTTGACTATAATATGCACCGTTGTATTTTTGATGGTAATAGTAACCCGTACACCGTCATCTATTAGTGATTAAAATTGATGGCAGTTTATGAAATGACAATTGTTTTTGTCATGCGGAAGTTGAATCAAATACTCAAAATTATATTTTCCAGAGCTGAAACTTAGGCAATCATGCAGACTAGAAGTGGCATGCGTTTTTGCGTTATCATTTTTGTTTGTTTTTATTGTTTAGGGTGATTTTTTAACAGTTCCATTCTTTTTTTATGAAACTGCCGAAAGATGTTGCTTCTCCGTAGGGCAATGACATGGCAAACAATACATCACATACATCGCTGATTTTCAAAACGGAAACAGTCTARAGATTTACATGTAATAGAGACTTAAAGATTTGAAGTAGAAGACTTGATGCCTTGTCAAAATAAAAGGTAGAATGTAGAAGTCAAATTTTTAAAAATTTCGATTCAATCTATTTCCGTGACTATCGTGACGATTTGCATGACAATTTGTCACGTAATCTTTGTCCGTGAAAGATTGGAGCTGAGTATAGTAGGCTGTCTTCACGCAAGCTTTCCCTGGTTAGGGAGAACATCTCAGCTGAATTGTTGTAAAGAAATTCACGAAATGAACAGGCTTTTTCGCGTTCAAACCCTTGYAAGAAGGTCATGGGTTAATTTTACCACTAGAAATGTTCAAATGTACAATCTAGTTGAGGTTTCTGAGGTCGAAGCGTTCATTCATCGTTGTATGGTAAGAGTTGGAACTTCAAGTGAACATGCAAGACAGTTRGCTAAAGTATTGACTTTAGGTGATGTTAGAGGACATTTTAGTCATGGATTRAACCGACTAGGTAGGGTTGAAGTGTTTAGAAAAGTTAATAGGTATTCATTTTATTATTTTTAAAAAGAAATAACTCTCGACTCAACTTTAATGCACTCATTGTTTTTCCCAGGGCTACTTGCACCAGCAATAACTTTTATGCAAAAGAGAATTGTCTTATTTTCTTAGTGAAATCTCAATCACTGATGCTTTTCGTACAATTAATGCACTTTTTACATGCAATAGATGTTGAGAGAGATCTTCACAGTGTGTTTTAAAATAACTATATCTGGGATCCCTGTGTCATACGAGCTTTTCTTTGTTTCATAGAAATGTACATTCATGATATTGATGTGGGTACCACGGTAAATCAGGGTGAACCATCCATCATAAAAGAAGGACCAGCAACTGCACTYGTCGATGGAAATAACCTTCTAGGCCCTGTAAGTACAATTTTGAATTAATTATTTATTACGTGAGTAATCGGCTAACGGCGTTGCTATGTACATTGCCACCCAATTCAAATCCTGTGGGAAAATAAGTTTTGTTTATAGAATTCAACTGAAATAAAAATACAACAAACAATGAAACTTATTCCTGGGTCCCATTAGGTCTATTGGCTGATGAACAAATTGAAATCCAGGGGGGTGTATCACTAAACAAATACAATAATATAATGTATATTGTGCATCCCTGGATTCATTCTGCACTGATGGGGATTAAAAAAGATCAATTTCAATCTCYCAGGTTGTTGGTAATTTTTGCATGGATTTAGCAATACAGAAGGCCAAAGAGATTGGAATATCATGGGTGGCATGCAGAGGTAAGGAAGAATTTATCCAAATAAAAAGCACATCATAAAGGTCTGCCTGAACAATATTAAGTACTCATGTACAATGTAGCACAACATTTTGGACTGTGGCTGTACTCAAAGTCGTAAGAGTTGCAATTTTTATTTTTTGGCTTTAGTGGGACTGACATCATTCCCTCCCATTTTAATAATGACTTGTAGCAAGTCTACAGCCTTTGGGTATCCTTACATAACAAGACATGGGTCAATAATGACTTGTAGCAAGTCTACAGCCTTTGGCTATCCTTACATAACAAGACATGGGTCAATAATGACTTGTAGCAAGTCTACAGCCTTTGGGTATCCTTATATAACAAGACATGGGTCACATAATAGAAATGTTTTTCAATTTGGATCAAAATACAGTGTTAAATTATGATTTAGAATATATTAATCACTGACTTATTATTGTTATTAATAATCTCTAATGATAATAATGGGATGTTCTTTTTCAGGTTCTAATCACTATGGTATAGCTGGATGGTACACACTAAGAGCACTGGAGCATGGATTAATTGTAATATTTTGTTATATAATCTTCATTACAGTATATAATAATGTCTGGTCTTTATAAATTCAACAACAAATTATCTTCCACTGGTGGTGAGTCGATCATGTGACGTGAATGCTATGGAGGCATACTATCAGAAAGTTTTGTTCTTGAGTGATAATAAAATCAAGTTGTTGACATCTCAGGCATTTTGATGTGATAGTTGCCCTGGGAAACTGGATGTTCCTCAAAACTTCATAGTCACCCTTGGATGAATATTTTTTTTTTTGAAACATCCAGTTTCTGTGGGTATTTATCACAACATAATGTCCTTGATTCAACTTATCTATTGTCAAATATTATACAATATATATTAATATTAATATAAATAATATATATATTTTTACCTGAAGAAGACTTGATTAGTCGAAAAACGTTTGTACTCAAAACTTTAAATATGCCTTAAGTTCTTAAAACACATAATTAACATATAAGAAGTACTTTTCCATATTTTCTTTGAAGGGTATAAGTGTGACTAATACATCACCATTGGTTGTACCTACAAGAGCCAGAGAGGTATAGAACAGYCATAGTTATCAATGTTTTGTCAGTATTTCTCTGGTATTGCATGTCTAATGATGAACCATGATGCTTTGCAGGTTACTCTAGGCACTAACCCGATATCAGTCGCTGCACCAGGACAAGATGGTGATAGTTTTGTTTTGGAYATGGCAACATCAGCAGTGGCATTAGGAAAGGTAACATCGTTACTAGCAATACTTACCAATAACACCCACCAGCAATGATACCAGCCCAGAGCATATCTTGTACAATATTCACAATGTTTGTTTTAATACAGATTGAGATGAACAGACGTAAGAATGAACCTATCCCAGCTGGMTGGGGTGTTAACAACAAAGGGCTGGTAAGACTTGTTACTCTGACACTCTTCTTGGTCCAACCAACCCATCCCCACCCCACCCCACCCTGTAATTGAAAAGAGAGCAAGAAATCATTGCCAACTTTACATTAATGTGGCCTATCTTCCTAAATGCCCCATCCTTGGCAAAGTCACTTGATTTTTTTATAATATTTACGCTAGTTTTGATTGTTTCTTGAAGGAGACCTTTGATCCTGTTGATGTGCTAGACAAAAATGGTGGTCAGCTGCCTCTTGGTGGGACAGAACTCACAAGTACGTCATATAATCTAATCACATTGAGTGTATGTGCACAAAATATACTAAATGTTTTCAATATTTCATGTATAAATGAGATTTTCTGTTTTCTGTGACAAAAATGACTTTATTGCGTTGTCCTCTGACTGAAAAAAAATGACTGTGAATTCTACCTGTAACTGTTTGCTTGGCTTCCTTTCCTCAGAACAGAAAATTATAATATAACTACAGCTGTACTTGCATACATAACTTGTTACAAAAAGGCTATTATGTTGTGCAGTATTTACAATGGGCTGCATAATAGATCAAGTAGATGGTTTTAGGTTGATCTATTCATARTGATKTAAACGTAACTTCAACCTTAAAATKTTATTTACTTAGTCGAKCTTTTGGCTCACCGASACATTATCAAGACTGATGAAAAACGTTTTTTTATTATTATTTGTAGGTGGTTATAAAGGATATGGCCTTGGTATGTTAGTTGAAGTATTATCTGGTGTTCTTGCTGGCAGTGCAATTGGTCCAGATATTCGACGGTGGAAGGGTGATGACAGAATAGCAAATCTGGTAAGAAACTGATTGTTAACTACTGTTTTCATCCTACGTCTAAATTGGATACTGTTTTCATCCTACCTAAACTTAAATAAATACTGTTTTCATCCTACCTCTAAACTGGATACTGTTTTCATGTGCATCAGGGCCAGTGTTTTGCTGCAATCAATCCAGCAATGTTTGAGCCTGGATTTGAAGATCGAATGCAGCATCTAATGGACTACTGCAGAATTCTAAAACCTGTAAGTACTTTAAAAGATTAATGACACGAATAAGTTCTGATCCGATCCTTTAAGGTGTATAGTGACAATGTGAACATGGTAATAGCAGTGAATAACGCCCGGGAATAACGTTAGGTGATAGTGATGATGGTAGTAATGATAATAGAATAGGTATGATGATATTGATGAATATATTGATGCGTCGTTAGTTAACAACAGTTGTGTTTTCCAGGCAGAGGGMGAGAGATCAGTCTTGGTAGCYGGTGATCCCGAGAGACTTCATCTTAGGAAAGTTGATCGAGAAAATGGAATCCAGTACCATGTAAATCTTCTGTCATCTTTGGTGAGTACTATTAAGAAGACACGTAWTCGAGTAGAAACGATAAGTCAGTTCACAACTTAGTAAAATAGAAAGAAAGCGAGTTTGCTGACATTTAGGGCGTTGGTCCTCTTCGTAGCGATGTACCCGCGTCATTGCGCAGTCTGAACGCGCACMCAAAATGAGGCGGATGTGCTTGCTGGTAAGCTGTGATTTCCTACTCTAATTAGACGTTTTACTCTCCAGGATGAGCTTGCAGACAAGCTGGGAGTAGAACGCATGGCCAAAAAGGCAGAATAAAWCCGGAACCATCGGTGAAATGCGAATCATATATACCAAAGYAGATACAGCGAATCTCATTAACCTTGTTCAGATATAAAGACAGTATAGCAAGAAAGTGATTTGCACAAAGATGTTTTTAAAATTCCCGAGACTGAGTAATTCACGTTTTCTAAATTAGTTTTACAAATTAGAAGTTACGGATTCATGCTGTGATTGCGTTTTGCACTTAAAGTTTAATCATCWTCATCATTCTACTTYGCGCCATGTGGTGCATTAGGCMCCGCTGCKYTCCTATACCTCCTCCTCCAATAGACTTGCAAAAAGACTTAAGCCACGWTATATGCAAATGACTTTGTTATTGTCTTTACTTATAAGCGAACATCGTTAATGGAATTGCCTGTATATGTGTTTAATACAAACTGTAGCTACCCTAGGTAATTTATATTTTTTAATCAATAATATTTAGTTTKTATTAAATATAGACTGCGATATTATTCCCTTTAGTTGTAGACCAATACGTACTGAGATAATTTATATATAGATAGATAGAAACTCTTAATAACATAAATGATATTAACTTCGTTTTATTCCATTCATTGGACTTTATACTTGTATCTTTGGGTTCCCTGTGTCTGTCTAGTTGTCATGACGACTAGTAGTGTTTTTGTCCTCGGGGGTGAGCTAAAACAGGTGAATTATGGCTGGAAAAACAAGCTGCGATTTTGACATGATTTTATAAAGAAAACGATAAATATCATGAAATATTTTTATCGAATTTAATAAAAGACGATTATTATGACATAGTATGGCAATAATTTTGGTGGSTAGGTGGTGTGAGTTATTTATAATCTTGATAAACGGTGTTGTGGTTACTGTGGAAACTGAGTTTATAATAATTCATTCACAGCGTGTTTTCTACKAAAAGTGTTCAGCTGCGGTTTATTTGAGTAATTTGAACGACAACGTCTTGACTTTATCGTTTCTTGGCTTCGTGGAGCAGCCTATTATATTTCGTCTTGTTTTCGCACTAAATTAGTGAACATCCTTTTTGACATGACTTTGAAATTGACGTGAGATTTGCCGTCGAATGCGACATTTTCAGAACTATTAAATTTTTTGTAAAATTGCTACGAAWATCACTTGAGAAGAGTGTCACATCTTAGCTTTTTTCAATTGTTTCTTGCGTCAAATTTCTGGATTCCGTTTACTCAAGACCGGATAAGCTTATCTWAGTCGAGTTTTGTAGCAATGGGAGAAAGGGAAAGATTTTGCGTGGCTTGTAGTTCTCCCAGTCCTGGTCCAGCGAAACGTCTTTACTATCAGCACAGAGACTTTGGCCCGTTTTTTCCCATTCTCCAGGAACAACGACATAAGTCCAACAACTTTCTGTTTAGTGGTGGACGAGCGCTTGTTTGTACAGGATGTGCGAATCATCTTCTACGACAATGGTCGGCCTACGAGCAAAAATGGACACCTTTACCGAGAAGAACGTACTCTTTATTATCAGGTTGGTGTCCTTAATCTTCATTTTTATATATTTTTCACTTTCCGCGATCCCTAGGTGTTCGATCTATTGTGCAAAAARCGGATCTGAGATTACTAGGCTTATTTAGGTTGTGTAACTGCAAGAAAGCGCTTTCAATAGATTTCCTATTAAAGCGTGGGTATGCTTTAAAAAGATCTGATGTCTAACTCCAATTTTTAACGTACACAAATGTTGTAAGTTGTTAGTATTAATTAGTCGAGCATCAAGAACTACGTGTTCATCTTGACCAGAAAAAAAAAATTTCATATGAGATGATATTTTTTTTAAACTGGAAAGGTTTCCATGGATACCGATGACAATTCGCTAAAAATGAAAAGAACGAAAGTCAAAACGACGTAACATGTTAAGTGATTTTTACAGTTTTATTTGAATTCATTTAGTGGTCATTATCTAATAACATGTTGATCAGTTTCGTCGATCGACTYSTTTTTATTYGTAAGTAGGAAKTACTACAGCACCAWATTTTGACTTSACTCTTTCCCAARACAACAGCAATAGAACTAGGGCTCCTGATAGAACTAGACAGACAGATATGCGTCGAAGTCAGTGCCTCATTTTTTAGATCCCCTTTATAAAGATTGATGATCTGCGACAAATAGTGCATATTTCTACAGGGTCCGTGCAGGTCCTTAAATCCTTGAAAAGTGTTTCGTTTTGATACTCTGCATGGACCCTGTTTCTAGAATTATTTAGCCGTTAAAACGATTCGTACATATCCTTCTCTATATCGTTTCATCGACGTACATGTACTGGTAGTAAGACTTGAAAGGGAGTGGGAAGTCAAAAATTCCCTGTCACCCTACCCGCTTCTGCTGTCTGCTTGGTTCCCCTTTTCCCGGCCGAAATCCTAAAAAAGTTTCTTTTCAACGTTATTTTCAGAAGAAAGAGAAGCAAAGAAGACGATGAAAACTRCCAGCATATCCAGTGAGATGTCTCACAATAGATACGATTTCTCGCCTACAAGGTCAACAAAAGGACCTTCTCAGGCCAAAGTGTTACAAGTTTACAACCCTGACGTCTTCAACATTGACTCTTTAAGTCAAAATGGAGGATTTTCTTCAAGTTTTATAACAGAAGACGCAAGTCCKTTTCGACGGGCTGTAAAACAAGTCACTAAACAAAACACAAGAGCTTTGAATGAGACCAGCAAACTCTCTGATGTACTGGACACTGTGATGAATCAAAACCGCTATGCGAAAGAGCTCGACCAACAACCTTCAAACAAGAGTACCACTGTTAGCGAAATTTTACCCAGAAARAAGTCACCGCCGCTGGCTCTACTGAGCCTGCCAAATGACAACTTTCGTTCTAAAGTTCGCGAAGAACTACAAGAAAGTGTAGAAGTCATGATTAGAAAACTCGCYGAGATTCAACATGTTGAAAATATGCGTCGTTACGAACATGAGCTTCAAGAAGCTGCACAACGCATTTGTCGCGCGCAAGACCGCGAAAGTGACATWGATCGAATGTGCCGTAATCTTAAAAGGCAACTGCAGGAAGAATTAATGTTTCGAGATGCGTCCCGCGTGCTTCGTGACGAACAGACGGCAGTTGGGTCAACAAATGCKGCAATTCAAACTAGTGAACCTATTGTTAGCCATACTGGCGTCGAGAGTGTTATTGCAGCAAAGAAAGCCGGTTCTGAATGGAAGGGAAAAGTGAAAAAGACTCGCAAGAAAGAAATACAACAAAGTAGACAAACTCCTTCAAGGACACAATCAGAGACGCTTCCACGTGATATTTTTAAAGATCCTCCTCCGCAACCTCGATCTGCGCAAAATATTGACGCRGTACTTCGAGAACTCGAAAAGGAGCGAGAATGGCGCAAAAAGACCGAGAACGCGATGATCCGACAACAAGAAATGATCGACGAACTTCGGAAAGGAATTCAAGGCGATGTACAACGTTTAATTGACGAACAGAATCATCGTTATAAAGAACTTAAGGAGACCCTTACATCTTATGACAGCACGAAGAAAAAACAACCAAGAAGTCAGACAAGAACAGAAAGAAAGGTTTCACCTGCTGAMAGAACTAAAGCAATGCAACCGACTTCCTGGAGACGTAATAGTGACGATGTTAGTTCTATTCATAATGGAAACCATAGCGATGATCATGATGAAACTGGTGAGGATGATGATGATAGTCATGATGACGATTCATCTCCACGAACACCGGAATATTATATTCACTAAACATTATTATATTATTAGTGCATTTAAAATGCGTCCTGGGTAAAGGAAGGGGTATCTAACGTACTCATTACCTTCTTACTGTCTGAATACAGATTGTCGCCTTGCATTTTATAATAGACCTTTTCTGCAATAGCATACACATTGCAGTCTAAATTCATTGCAAACATCTATTGTTCACACAGCCAAATAAGGTGTTTTTACAGAAGCTAGACCACAATGCACCATGTTTTTATATTTCAGAAAAGGTCTATTATTCCTTGTCACTATGTAGTATACCCTGCGAGCAGAGGAATTTTTCCACTATCTACGAAAGGAGATCTTTCTTCGTAGAAGGAGGTGGAACAATCCTCTGTTCGCAGGGTATATGTAGTAAGTCCAAGGTCTTGATCAGCTGCTAGCAGTAGTAACTTTTGGCACTATTTTGCTGTTCTTGCAAAAGTCTTTTTATTTGATAGTCAACATTATTCATTTTCTACCTATTAGTACTTCACAGTAAACAGCACATTTTTTCTCTATTTACATTTTTTCTCTATTTTTAATTTCAAATACTGTATATCACACTTCCAGTATTTCACTTTTATTCATAATTATATTATATAGGATATA